CCCCCTACCACCCGAAACAAACAGATTGCGGGCAGCTTGGGGGTCGCAGTCTGAACACGGGTCGCAGGCAGCGTCGCATCGTAAAGCTTCCAAGGGCTCCCACAAAAAGAAAATCTCGATTTCAGCTTGGTGGTTCTTCATCACATGCACCGAACATGCCCAAAAAGAGATAGTCTGTGACTCTATGTACGTTCACGATTGTCGGTTCCCCGATGCGGGCTCACGGACCGCAAAACCAGAGAGAAAACATAAATGCCGAGGACAGTGGACAGTTCCACCAAGACGCTAGACCCTAAACCCTAAACCCTAAACCCCTTGCTATCCTGCCGCTTGCAGTGGACCCTCGGGTGCTGAAGAGCGGCATTGTCCTGCCACCACAGCTTCGCAAGCAGCATTTGGTGCCGGGGCACCTTGGAAGCACAAACGACTCGTTAAAGGCTTAAGGTTTAGGGTTTAGGGTGTAGGGTGTAGGGTGTAGGGTTTAGGGTTCTGGGTTTAGGGTTTAGGGTTTAGGGTTAGGGTTTAGGGTTTAGGGTTTAGGGTTTAGGGTTTAGGGTTTAGGGTTTAGGGTTTAGGGTTTAGGGTTTAGGGGTTAGGGGTTAGGGGTTAGGGGTTTAGGGTTTAGGGTTTAGGGTTTAGGGTTTAGGGTTTAGGGTTTAGGGTTTAGGGTTTAGGGTTTAGGGTTTAGGGTTGGACATGACGTGCCCAGCCCTTCTTGGCGATGGACAAAGAATGAAACACCACTTTTCTGGATACGCTGTAAGCAAGAGGAAAATCCCGCAAGCATTGTTTGGCCCTATCTGATGCTACTTTCACTGCAGTCTATCGGAGCATGCGGATCTACCGCCATGCTCCGTTTCGTCGCTTCACGCTGCACTTTGCTCAAAAGACCTCCTTGCTGCTAGAATGAGCGATCTCGAAAGCAACAAACGAGGCCAGTGCTGGAGTAGCTCCAACCGCCCTGGCGAGAGGCTCAAAGCTCAAGCAAGGACGCTACCAACACATGAGCAGCCTGGGGATACCTGCATCATCCTGCATCAAACCACGGTGCCTGTGACCTCGTGTCAATCTAAATCACCGACGGTCTGAACCTGTCTCTGCAGGATAGATATGAGGGTGGAGTGATGAGAGCTTCGTCACAGCACCTGATCCCACGAAAATACAGCAGAAGACATGCCCACACCACCCTGCCCCGGAGTGGGCATGTGTAATCCAAGAGTTTACATGCATGTCGAGGGATGCGACAACTTCAGTCTTCGGCTTCGGCAAGCACTGCAGCTGACTGATCAATCGTGCCCCGGCGGGCCGTGTGGCTGCAGAGAATACCTCGGGCATATCAACTAGATGTTAGACTTCAGCTTAGACGTCGTGCTCGAAGCCATACATGGGCATGCTTAGAAGCTACTATACCCACAAAATGGGAACCTGTAGCCCAGAACTATAGTCTACGTAAACCCTAAACCCTAAACCCTAAACCCTAAACCCTAAACCACTGGCTTTCAAGGACCACACTCAACCTGTGAACCACAAGGCCGCGGCCGACATCGATAGCGGAGATGAGGGAGCCTGCCTTGCAAAGCAGACAAAAGGGATGCACCCACCCTTTGTGGGTTCAGGGTTTAGGGTTTAGGGTTTAGGGTTTAGGGTTCAGGGTTAGGGTTTAGGGTTTAGGGTTTAGGGTTTAGGGTTTAGGGTTTACGGTTTAGGCTTTCTATCCGTGCTCCTTGTGAAGGACCATCGTGTGGCCGCGCTCAGTCATGAAACCTTGCGGAGGCAGGCCAGGCAGGTTGCGAGACCTCCCTCATGCATCGGTGCTTGTTGCCCGTTACGAACTAATCCGCCGAGGCCTCGGGCCGTGGGTGTCTGGGTAGCATACAACAGGTGAGATTGCGCCCCTAAACCCTAAACCCTAAACCTTTTTTGCTTGGAATTGGCACCTCCCAGTAGCCGACAGGTGTCCGGGTGCATCAGGACCAGGGGGCACCCTAACCCGCCCAATCCGGCTTAGGGTTTAGGGTTTAGGGTTTAGGGTTTAGGGTTTAGGGTTTAGGGTTTAAGGTTTAAGGTTAAGGGTATAGGGTTAGGGTTTATTGTTCTTCTTGTTTTGGCTAACGCCATCCATTGTGCCTTTCAGGGTTTTGCACCTTTCAGGGTCTTGGGGGGGGTGGGGGGGATTTATCTGGCGACATTGCCCAAAACATGGGTATTTGCAGCGCTTTTGCCACGGATGCTTGACGTTTGTGGAACAAGACACGTGGTTAGAAGCGTTCATGCCCTTGACGAAGACCCCCAAAACGCTGGTATTTTTCAGCATGGCTGCATCTCTGTAAGATGCCCAAAATGCTGGTATGTTATTTGCAGCGTTTTTGCCTCTCTGTATTCAAAAAGCAAGTACTTTGAAGATCGCGCTTCGCAAGTGTCGAAAACATCGCTGTGCGCAGTGTTTTGCGCAATCGATCACGAAAGCCTTGTGGCAGTGGTGATGCTGAGGACACGTCCGGCGAATACGACGCGTAAAAATCTCGAGCTTTCCACATTTTCCGGCATCCAACTCCAAAATGACACAGGCAAAACACGCAGGGCCACAATGCATGGCGATACCATTTTACCACCACACCGTCACGGGGCGCGTAGCATGAAAATTGGCTACAACTCTGATTCATGAGAACTTTTAAACATCATAACTCTTCCCCTGATCATCAACATATGCCATACCTTAAACGCCTGGTTAGCCAAAATAAAGGGCTACTATACACCCAAACTGGGAACCTGTAGCCCACAAATTATGGTCTTCAAGGTATGCTCCGTGCTTAGCAACCCTAAACCCTAAACCCTAAACCCTAAACCCTAAACCCTAAACCCGAGGCACCTCCGAGCTGCTCTCCCATGTCTGACACACGGCGTGTCAAGCTGTGCGACTCCTTCACGAAGACCTTGGGGCCCTAAACCCTAAACCCTAAACCCTAAACCCTAAACCCGAAACCCTAAACCCTAAACCCTAAACCCTAAACCCATGTGGCGGAGGCCGGAGGGATCCAAACGGCTTTCAAGTTCAGAATGATTAAAAATAGCAACGGGATAATAAGAACAATAATAGAATTAATAATAATAATACTACTAATAATAATAATAACCGTAGAAGAAGAACAGTAGACGAGTAACAGTAGAATAATAACAGCATCATAACACTCATACTACCAAAAAATAATAGCAGTAGAATAACAGTGAGTGAACTTGTCGCTGAAATAGACTGCGCTACCCTGCTGAGAGCGTCTGCTGGTTTGCGCGACACCAGGCTCTCGTTCAGAAACTCGCACAGATCGGTTGCATCCTGGCTAGGCAGCGGCAAGGTAATCGAAACAGCCCAATGCTGCCCCTTTGCCTTTGCTTGCTTTTGCTGCACCAACTTAGCAAACAAGAACCTCTAAACCCTAAACCCTGGAGCAAGATGACTGCGCCGCCAGCCTCATCCACCACCACTGGAGGTAAATGGCAAAACCTTATTCTCACTGAAAGATCCTGCAAGTTGAGTCTCACGAATGCCCAGGCCAGCAGAAAATAAGAAAACGCCCATTGAGGAATCGGCCATCGGTACGTGTTCAGCTTCTTTACAGCTCGAAGAAGCTCCTCTCGACATGACGTGCGCGAGTGTGCATATGCGCTGGTTCTTGTTGCGACTGTTTTCTGGAATCAGGTCCTCGGAACTCCACACCCCATTTGCACATATAAACCCCAAACCCCTCAACAGTATACTTGACCTCCGGCCTCGCGCGGCGACACCTCGTCGTAGCCATCACAGGGGATGTTGTCGAAGACGTCGTCCTCCAACCTGCAAAACAAGCCGTGTTGAAAGGTTTGCTATGTCAGGCATGATTCGGCACCGCGGGAAAAGGAGACTGATTGGGCTAGAAACCCTAAACCACCCTAAACCCTAAACCCACCCTAAACCCTAAACCCTAAAACCTCTCCCTGGCTTAAGGGGTGTACCGTATGCGATCCGCAGCAGCAATGGTGGTCGGCGTTGCTAGCAGAGCAGATTGCCTGCCGACTGGCTGCAGCCGCTTGTATGGCATCATGTTCAAGGACGCACCTCAGCTCAGTTTTCAGCCTATCTGCTTCAACGTTCGATTTGATAAGGGAATCCAGAGGATTGTCCCAAACTCTCTCATGTGATATGGTTGACGGTCTGTGGAACGATGTCCCTAAACCCTCGCTAAACCCTAAACCCTAAACCTTTCACCTTTAGGTTTCATGGGGGAAATATAGTAACAATAAACAATATATAAATCAATCCGCCGAGGCCTCGGGCCGAAGGTGTATAGGCTGTGAGACAGGCACCCCAAAGCCAATTTTCGGACCCCTTTTTTTGCCTGAAATGGGTACCCCCCCTAGGAAACCGGACGGTTCGCCAGGACCAGAGGCAGTTGAAGCCCGGCCCACCCTACCCCCCCCCCCTACCCCAACCCCCCTCCACCCCCCCGACCCCCCCCGCCCCCGGCCCCCAACCCGCCTTCCCCCCCCCTTGGTGCACTCCCTTCTTGGACGCCTATGCGGATGCCGCGAACATGCGCCGGGCGCTGCGCTGGGCCAGGCCGAGGCGGGTCGCGTAGCGTTAAAATTAATATACCAATATAGCAACTGTGAACAGAACAATACATTGATATAGTAACATATTCATAGGATAGCATGTTAACATGTTGGCACATCAATTCATGTAATCTAAAGAAGGACATAACAATATACGCATATAGTACTATAACAATATAGCAATATAGTGCTATAACAGAACAGAACAGAAGACAAAACAATAGAATAACAGATGCCCACAATAATTACTAGAAGCAGCGATACCCATGAGCAACAATGTTTTTTCAGCTTTGGGAATGTTCCGTTGAACTTCGTGGTGGGGACGGCATTTGCACTTGAGAGGCCAGGCCACTTGCAATCATAAGGGTCTATACGGTTTCGGTTTAGGGTTTAGGGTTGCAATGTCTTCTCTCTCATGCCTTCCCGTGCTGTCGACATACAGTCGACATTGTGACAGACGGATCTGCTGCGAACACTGCATCCAACAACTGTCCATCAGGCAAGATCACGGCAAGTTGTTGATGGCTGGAATTCAGCTCGAGCGCAAGGTGCCTAAAGGTCGCCAAGGCAAGGTCAGATGCTTTGGCCCTCACTTGCGCAAGCTCGAGACCATCCAAAGCTGTGCATGTCATGGTGATTGCATCGTCTTCATCAAGAAAATTAACCTGCAAGACGCGTTCTCTCCCACGTGCCTTCCAATCAGCAACATAGCGAAGGCTGGGCGATTCCAAAGACGGAATGTCTTCTGGATTGCTTCCACAAGTAACCACGCTGCCATCACTTCGGAGAAGCACTGTATGACGAACACCTGCAGAGACCTGAGTATATGAGACTCCCTCATCCAAAGCTGGAATGTCGCATTTACCATCAGCATTTGCTCCGCAAGCAACAGCGCGGCCATCACTTCGGAGAAGCACTGTGTGATGAAACCCTGCAGAAACCTGGATGTACGACACGCCTTCATCCAGCGGTGGGAGATCGCATCGCCCGTCAGGATTGTCACCGCAAGCAACAGCAACACCATCACTTCGGAGTAGCACTGTATGATCAAAACCTGCGGAAACCTGGGTGTATGACAAACCCTCACCACAATCCGGAAAGGCGCATTGACCACGCGCATCTAGCCCACAAGCATCAGCGCGCCCATCACGTCGGAGAAGCACTGTGTGACCACCACCGGCGGAAACTTGGACATACACACCTTCATCTGAATCTGTCCATGGAACGTCGCATTGATCTAGCTCATTGCACCCGCTAGCTACAGCATAACCGTCACTTCGGAGAAGCACTATATGTTCAGCACCTGAGGAAACCTGGACGTATGAGACACCCTCTTCCAAGTCTGGAACATAACCTTCATCGTCATAACCTGCTGATCCACACAGCACAGCCCGACCGTCACTTCGCAGGAGCACTGTATGACGATGACCTGCGGACACCTGGGTGTATGACACAGTTTCGTCTAAGTCCGGAATGTCGCATTGTCCCGCGTGATTGTCTCCGCAAGCCACAGCACGGCCATCGCTTCTGAGAAGCACCGTATGCTGAAGACCTGCAGAAACCATGACAGCACGAAGCAACGTGCCAAGCCCCACATCCAACGCGGCAGGTCACCCCTTGAGCCGACAGTTGTTTTTCACATCCGCTGCTTGTTGCATCCTGATTGATCCTCTATGGGAAACCATTGGAAAATGCAGCAGATCTACGGGCCCCAGTGCTTTTTTGATCTGACGGTGGTTGAAGCCTACTGGAATGCAGTTGGCGAATGAGTCAGATACAAAGGGCACATACTTTCGGCACGCCACTACAAGCCCTTCTAAGCCGCGCGCCACTACCCCAAAGGGTCCTAAGTACCTACATAGTCGAAAGTAGGATTTCCCTAATAGGAATTACTCTTATGGTTTGGGTAAGTGTCCCCCATATAGGTACTTAGGACCCTTTGGGTACAAGCCCTTCTAAGCTGGGTTTAGGGTTTAGGGTTTAGGGTTTAGGGTTTAGGGTTTAGGGTTTAGGGTTTAGGGTTTAGGGTTTAGGGTTTAGGGTTTAGGGTTTAGGGTTTAGGGTTTTATCCAGCGTTAAAGGCTTCCCCACCGAGTACGCGGGTTCTGTTACGGCTTTTGTTGGGCGGCACTCTTCGGTGCATGGCCCCAGTACCGTTCAGAGAACCAGAACATGAGGGTTTAGGGTTTAGGGTTTAGGGTTTAGGGTAAGAAGGCGCCGGCATGGAGGGTTGTGTTTGGGGGGGGTGTTCTGCACAAGCCGGGGCACCAGGCGTTTCAATGCCTAGCGAACCGCCGGAAATCCGGCCCCCGTTAGGAAGGGTGATAGCCCTAAACCCTAAACCCTAAACCCTAATCATCTGATCTGAGTCGTGTGCGGGACCATTCAACTACGACGCACATGTTGCTGATGAAAAACCGAACTCGGAGTCGTTTAGAAACGGGTGCCAGGCTCATACGTGAGGGGCCCATTCAGGGCTCTGAATGGACATTGCTCAGAATTTTAGGGTTTAGGGTTTAGGGTTTAGGGTTTAGGGTTTAGGGGGGGCTACTTGATCTTGCCAACATCTGTAGGTGAACTCCACGGCAACTTTCACTTGCAGTGGCTCGGTCACTTAGTGAAAAATCACAAGCCGTAATCTCATAAGTCAGCCCCAAACCTTATGGCAAGGTAAATGAAATTTGACGAGATATACTGGGAGGCGGACAGATACTGCAGATGAGAAGTAAGATATGTTTTCAGAACTCATATCAGAGTCATATCACTGGAAGTCCAACAGCATCAAGAGCCCATGGTCGACTCCTATCGCAGGACCAACCGTTGGTCGAGTCAGTACTAAACCAACGGGATTTCGCGCCTGAACCCAAAACCTTCTGTGGGATTTTCTGTGGCCCTGTCACACTTAGATATCCGCAGCACTTCACTCACCACGCATCAGGGCATGAGCTGCTTTGTTGCACGTGAACCTTTTGGGCGCGAAGGTTGAAAGGGCAGATCAAGGGGAGCCCTCAACACTAGAACCAAAACCCTAAGCCCAAAACCCAAAGCCCTAAACCCAAAAACTCTACACCCAAAACCCTGCACCCTTAAACCCTTACACCCTAAACCCACATCAAAGTGAATGGCAAGCTGGCTACCCAGGGGGTTTAGGGTTTAGGGTTTAGGGTTTAGGGTTTAGGGTTTAGGGTTTAGGGTTTAGGGTTTAGGGCCAGCTTCTGGATAGCTTGAGCACGGAGTGGTGAACCGCAGCAATTTTGTTTCGATTCGTATGCGAACCAGGAAGACACATCTCCCATGTTTAGGATTGAGGCTTTGGGTTTTAGGGCTTTGGGTTTGGGGTTTAGGGTGTCCATTCAAAAGCCCAAGTAGGCACTCGGCTCAGGCAGAGCCATCGCAACTCCTCAACGGTTTTGGGCATCTCCACGTGAGGAAGCCGCGGGTCCTGGTCTTAAGAGCACAACCAGCCAGACTCTGTACATAAATAGTACGTATATGTACGTATGTACGTATGTATATGTACGTATGTGCGTATATGTACGTATGTGCGTATATGTACGTATGTGCGTATGTGCGTATGTACGTATGTATATGTGCGTATGTACGTATGTGCGTATGTGCGAATGTATGTATGTATGTACGTATGTACGTATGTACGTATGTATGTATGTGTACTATCTTTTGTTATCACATGTGTTGTCGCCGGGTGTCTACCACTACCACTCGAGAATGATGGCAGCCATGCTGACTTGTAACACTGCTAGGACTAACGCGGCTGAAGATCGCTACGATTGCAATTCCCAAAGGGTCCTAAGTACCTACATAGTCGAAAGTAGGATTTCCCAAATAGGAATTACTCTTATGGTTTGGGTAAGTGTCCCCCATATAGGTACTTAGGACCCTTTGGGATTGGAAGCACTTGCTACGTTTCGACGAGTTAGTCAGGAGATGAGGCTTGAGCTGCAAGGATTTGAGAGCTTCACAGCCACGCACCGATCACAGTGGTAGGACTTGCTTCGAACATAGGGGATAGAACTAGGGGGACCTTGGGGATATAGACCCTGTTTAAGAGAGCCAGAAGGGTTCAAAAGGGTTCCCTTGTAAGGGCCCCCCTCATCTTACCTAGGAGACGAGGATGGCAGGTACAGTAGAGGCCTGGTGGATGCCGCTGGTGTCAGAGTCACTCGTCTGTCCTCAGGCCGTTGACTCCGTTTCGGAGTTGCGAAAGTAAGGGACCCCCGAAAATAGTCCCCCAAAGAGTAGGATCCCCTTATCATCAGGACCCCAAGAAGGTAGCCCCAATTCTCGGAAACCCCTTTTGGATTAGGGACCCGTATAAGGACCCTGAGGGTCGGATGCGCCGTGATGATGGCTTGGTCTAGCCATGAGGCTGAAACTCCTGAATTCCGCGCCCATGCGCTGGGTCTCAAGATCACCCAAGATCACCCAAGCACGAGCCCAGGATAGCAGGATATCAAGGCCTCAAGCCCCGTGCGCAACGATTGCAACTTCGACTGTTTCGGCTCGGCGGTGTCCGCCATTGCGTGCGTGCGTACGGGTGTGTAAGGCGGCTGAGTCTCTATGCTGGTCGAGCCTCATCAGTGGATGCGAAGCACTGGCACACGAGGCCCGAAGCCCTCAACCCCACACCCTAAGCCCTAAACCCCAAACCCTAAACCCTAAACCCCAAACCCTCAACCCTAAACTCCACACCCTAGACCACAGGCCGACGCTGAGCTTCTGGCGCCTCACGCGGCTCTGGCGCTTCGCCGGCTGCACTTCTGCCCAGGACTGGTTTGTCATCGAGGACCTGGGGAGGTATCCAGGACAAGGCATCCCAACAGGGTTTAGGGTTTAGGGTTTAGGGTTTAGGGTTTAGGGTTTAGGGTTTAGGGTTTAGGGTTTAGGGTTTGGGTTTAGGGTGGGCTTCCCAACCCGCACAGACCCCCAGACCCACTTAGTTGCCACCCGCTCTTTTGTTTGTCACCCTCAGAACCCCGGAACCCAAAACAAAATCGGGGGGGGGGGGGGGGTTATAAATGTAACCCA